TGTTTCTACTTTGCAACCTTGTTTTGGAGTATTTTGCAGCTAAAGAGACTTCTGTGCAGTTGCTGTGTTACATCCATGTAGTGTCTGAAATGTGCCAAGAGCTGTAGCAAACTCTCTGCATGTAGTACATAAGTGGGTAAATGGACAGCCTTAAATTCATTAGGTTAATGTCGATTCAAGTGAGGCAAGAAAACGAATGCTTCCAATATTACTGAGTGAACTAACCCTTTAAAAAAATGAACCGCAGAAGAAGCCATACAAGTTTAACTGAGCCAACGACGTAAATCCCACCTCAAGCAGGTGTACCTCAGACTGTCTGCGTCATTATTATCATCATCATTATTATTATCATTATTATTATTATTATTACCATGGTCACACATTTCAGTTTCCGCTTCTTCTAATTTTCTTTTTTTTTTAAAATCTGCGCCTAATTTTTAGTATAAAGGAAAAAAGTTCAGTTTACAGTAACACTGATCAAAATACTGAAGCTGGGTCCACGCAGGAAGCGATGTCACTCATCACGCGTAGCCTTGAAGCTAAAAGGTTCGTCGCTAGTGGACTTTCTAGACCCTGGTTGCCTAGGTAACCCTCTAACGCATTTACCGCACTGTGATATGTCAATTAACGGTATCTTGTGCTCTTATTGGCCGAAATTGATTGAAGTTGAGTAAAGCTCATCTCGGGATACGCCCACTTTGCCCTCACCAACCGTTATGTCGCCTGTCATCGCTTCCTGTGTGGAAGCCATTAAAATGTTTGTTTTTACCATATAGATGTTGACACAGATCATGTGTTTCTAAAATGCTTCATAATTAACAGAATCAGTTCTTTGATTTTTGACTGAATCTGCTGATCCTGCTCTAAAACGAACCAATAAAAAAATTCCTGTTTTAAATGTGTACTGTCAAGTTTTTTCAAACATAAAAAAAAGTAAATAACAAATACTCGTCTCAATTTTCTATAAGTTTTTATTTTACATATACTACAGTATTTTTGACAAAGGAGGGGGAAAGATGAACAGGCTTTTTGGCTTTTCAAACTGATTTATTAAAAAATAATAATAAAGAACTGAACAAGTTCATATTTTTGTGGAGAATTTTCTGACTGTTGAAATGCAAAGTTGACTCGCTCCAGTCGCCTTTTCTGGCTCATTTCTGTTTGCATGCAGTGTTATAGGTTTAAACAGTAACATCTTACAACTGAATACAAAACAAATGCTACTTTTTCAAACAAATTGCACCTTTTTTTCTTCTTTTTTTGGATTTCGGGCATATTGCACACTTCAGATAATGCAAAAAAGGAAAAAAAGAATTAAACAGTAACAAAAGAGCGAGTCAGAAAAATAGATCCTCGTGCCCCCCTTTTCATTATGCTAATTTATTTTGTTTTTTTTAAAAGAAACACAGTGATTGACCCACACTGCTTCTGGTATGATCACAGTAAAATAACCCAGAAGTGGTGAACTTTGACCTTTTTTTTTCCTTTTAAACTAAACGTTACTTTGCTACAGTAGCTCCTAAAAGATTCTGATTAATAAATGAATGCAGAGCGGCTACAGGTCAGATTTAAACTTCAAGCGTCGGCTCTTCTGCAGATTTTCCTCTGATTGTCTGATTCTCACTCGAGATTGTTTTACATCAGCACAATTAACGATGGAGAAATTAGCATAATGCAGAATGGTTACTGTACAGAGCTTTTTAAACACAGCAGGGTGGGGTTTTTTTTTTTCTTTCTCGTTTTTGTGATCAGTCTCGTCAGAAACAAGAGCACATTTTACAGATTTAAACAGAAACATGAGGAATACATTCTTAGACTTCTTGTCCAGGTCCATGTTGTTGAAGGAGAGCAGAGTCCAGATCAGGCGGTGAACCTCCAACGTGCCTGATTTTAGAAAACACCTCAGAGGTTCAGGGTGTTTAGAGAAGTCTTGACTTCGAGGTTTGGAAGGATGCAGACAACTTGAGATGAGATACATTCAGCTTCGGGTCATTTAAGTCTCGACAAATACTGACCTCTTACTTCCAGGACGCCCTGATGCTCACTTTAAACTCTCCTGTAAATGGCTTAAATCCAGTGCACTGCATCTGCAAGTTAATACAGTTTATTTATATATAATAATATTATATTTATCAGTTATTCTCGTTATGATTAAAAAGACAAAAATGAGGTGAAGATTTTTTTCGACCTCTGCTGAACCAACACTGAATGACTGATGAGATTAAAACCTGACTCTCCCCCCCTTCGCACATTTATGTACAGATTGATTATCGATAAAGCATCAGAACCTTTATTTAAATCAGCTGTCTGAACGATAATACTGGGATCTCTGGAGGCTACAGATGTTTCAGGTGTGATCAAGG